GAAAAAAAAGTTCTTCTTTCGGCCTGCGGATTCTTTGTCCAATTTTGAGCGAATCTTCGCTTATCGAAAATTTGGTGGGGCATCATTCTTTTCATGATTTTTTTAATCTCTATATTATCTAATCAGATCTGAATTTCTTTAATGAAATAAGATCGATCTGGGATTGCCCGAAAATTAGATGTAATTTTCGAAAAGTCTTTTTATCTTTAGTCGCTCATAATTCAAAACCGTATTGACATTTTTGTAAAGAAATATTTGATTTGAAATTAAATCGAACGACGGTGAAAAAAAATTTGTTTTATCTGAGACATCCTATATACATGGACGAACGTGCTCGCGTTGTATATTGTCTATGATACTGTCAATCACGTATAAACTGTATTACTGATTGACACAATGCGAACGCCTCTAATGCATATCAACGTCAGCGGCGTGTATTGTTCCGTCTCGCCGTTATTGGTAATTTCTGTTTCGATGTGTATATATATCGCGAATCACCGAAGGGGGATGAACGCGAGCGAAACGATTCTGTCTCGTTCTCGTGGTTTCAACAGGCACAAAGATTTCAAAGGCGGCGACTCGTTTCTCTCTCTTTCTTCCTTTTTCTCTTTTTCTCTTTTCTTTTTTTCGCGTTGGAATCGTTTTATCGCTTTTGCGGTCATCGCGGCGTTCAAATTGATTTATCGCACCGATGTACGCGTGTTTCGCGCCATATTTCAACGTGCAAGCGCATCGAGTCGCAAACATCTTTTCCTCTCCCTTTCGTCCCTTCGCTTCGGATTTTATATAAAATAAAGCACACGCGAGTCTGCTACGCGGTAGAAAAAATTATTAAAATCGACGGCGATGATTTTGACGAAAATAAGTCGTAAAAAACGAAGCGTTAATCGTATAAAAAGACCTTTAAAAAACGGAAATGAATGTATATAGCGTGCCCTAGGTGGTCTTTTCTTCGACGAGGCAAACATCAGCGGCGAAATGAAATTATGTTTGTGAAAAGGCAATTAAACGAAATTGCGTTGTGGATCGAACGGTTCTGAAAGGGAATGCGATCGCGCGATTAATAGCGAGATACTATGTTAGCGTGGCCGGGAATCCAGACACGCTCGACACGTCGATTGCATCGTCGCGTCGTCAATTTACAGTAGCGTATCGCGTATCTCGAACAATGGCACGAAAACCGCATCGCATTCCAGTGCGTGTCGGGACGATGCATCGCAAGTGGTTAACACTCTTTGCCATTCAAAAACTATTCTGCCAATCACATATTTCTTTAAAAACAATTCTTCTTGCAACACGTAACGTATTAAAGCACGCTTCGCCAGCAACACATCGTATATCGTTTAATTCCGTGACATTTAATGACGTGACTTACAGTTACGTCACAGTGACAGATGATAAAATGCCTTGCTTTAAGAATATAAACGTGGATGAAATAATACAGTTGCATAAAATAGAAAAAAAAAAACATAAAATTAATAATTTAATAATCTATCATAATAATAATTTGAGATTTATATCAAGGAAATTTTGCTGTACGGTTTAAAAAGTCGATGTTTACGTTATCGTTGAATCGTTCTTATTCCGGGGTCAAAAGCTTTAATTTAGGAACGTCGCAAATTCCTCGCCTTTCTCGGACGTTCGTCTAGCTTCGGGCGATTCGTTACGCGAGAATTAATCGAACCGGCTTTCAGTGAGACGAGCGATATCGGGAGAATTCGTGTCTCGTCGGCTGGTTGGCTCGCGAGATAATTGGAAAGGACGGCGCGAGTTCAATTTGCGGCAGCGAGAGAGTCCATCTAATTCCATGGCGTTCTAATCCCCGCGCGTTTCCGCGGTTACTCGGAATTTATATCCCCCGGCGGTGTATATATATATATATATATATATGTGTGTGTGTGTGTGTGTGTGTGTGTGTGTGTGTGTGTGTGTCTATGGAAGCGGATCGTCCATTAAAAGCCTCGGCCGGATATGAATACGTGGAAATGACGCGTGTTCTCTGCGCGATGCTTATTAGATTACCGTCGTCGCGTTAGCCGCGTCGTTATCTCCATCTCTCTTCTCTTCTTCCCCTCCCGCCCCTCCTCGATGCACCTGTCCGCTGCATCGCCATTCACGCGTACGCACACGTGCGTCAGTGACGGCGATGTCGCGCTAATGAGTGTACACGCCGATATATTTCTGCGAGGAATATAGGTACGCTTGTCAAGTTTTAGATTTTTTCCCGAGAATATTTATCGAAAACTTGCGTGAATGCTGAGATACGATCCGGTTTGCGTCCGCTTCTTAATGTTAGTTAAGGATTATTAATATGAAGTGCCGGGTTTTATAGTGCATTTTTGCATATATTATTTTCTCATGTAAATGTCACATTTAAATATTTAATTAATGTTTCGTGGGTAAAGGTATATATATTTGTAACCGGACAACACGTCATTTATAAAATCTGTTATATTTCTATATAAAATAGTGACAATAATAATAATAATAATATAAAAAATAAATCCTAGTTCGAATATATCGTATTAATATGTTACGGCTGGCTTGACTCTGCCGTTCAAAACCTCCGTGTTCTCACAATGTAAAAAGCAATCGAATTCGTGTTTTTTTTTTTTTTTCAGCATGCGCGTGCACGGGAGCGAATCCACGAGGCGGTGCGCGCGAGTAACGCGTCGGTGAACGCGCGAGAGAAATGAAATACGCGAGGGGAGCCATTAGGAATTCGCCGCCCTCGGCGAATGTCATTCACCCTTGGTGCGCATCGTAAGAAGAAGAAGAAGAAGAAGGGGAGGAGAAAGAGAAGGAAGGGGAGGAATCGCCGCGGAAGAAGAACGAGCGAAGAAGTGAGCGAAATCGCGCACGCGAGATC